ATCCCATCAACACCTCATGATCACACAGGCTGGTGTGCTTCTTCCATGTGAGCTTTGTTGCTTCTGAGCTAGATGGCCGCTTGTTTATCTTTAAACCTTTAAGACCCCAAACGCTCTATCTTTTGATAGCTGGGCACCATCGGCTTTCTTCAGCACATTTGCTTATGTACACATTTTGTCTTCAGTGATCGTGTCGGGAAGGTGAGCAACACAGAATGCCAGGTCATTAGAACAAAGTATTTTTCATTGAGGGAGTACTTGAGTAGAGGCCCAATGTCCACCTGCTACCTTAATACTTAACATATAAATATATGTACATGGGTCTAGTTCCCTATCATTATATTTATATTTACATATGTACATGTCTGTATTTAGACCTCTATAAATGTCCTTTGCCACCTAGTTCTTTCCTCTATTTCCTGTTACTTTCCTCTTGTCCCACCATCATGCTCGGCCTTCATTCACGTTTCAGGGATTCCTCTAGGCTACATTCCCTGGATCAAGCCCCAAATCCTATTTCTTACATGCTGGTCTGTCCTACTCATATAGCATAATCCCCCGTGGCTGTGCGGTATCGACTCTCTGTATTTGTGAGGCTGAGAATATACAAAGTGCCTTTCTAGTTTCCACCTAGATTCCCATTGGACTGTGCCAGGGGCCCTTGAAGGCAGAGGAGGGATGGAGAAATGCCATCCTTCCTGTGAACCTGCTGTCCTGGCAGGGGGCACCTAGCAGCAGCAACTGGTCCAGTGTCCAGCCTCATCCCTCGCTCCCAGGACCAGTGTCCTTCAGAGGTTCCAGAGCAGCTGGGTCATGGCCTCTCTAAGAAATGACGCCCAGCTCTCTGAGGTCCTAGATTATGATAACTCAAACCACTTTCCCTAGGAGAGCAGCTGTTTCCTGTAGTTATTATCATAATGTTGCCCTTTTGCATTTCCAGTCTCTAAAACCTGCTTCATCCTCTTCCTACACCGACATTCATGGTCTGGTTGGCCCACAGGTCATTCTTGAGTAAAGGCAGAGACACTGGACTACGGCACCAACCTATAACAAAGGACTACAACCTAACAAAGCCAGTCCTAGACTAGGAGTCATAATGGAGGCTCAATTATTCATCAAACTAGTAACATCTGGTGAGGGGAAACTATACATTCAAAACCTCACATTAGTAAGATTAAATGATTATGTCTGGCAGGTGTATTTCTCATTTGTTCAGATGGAAATTATAAAGTAACAGAAGTTTCAAGTTCACCACTGCTATGGGAATTCTGTTATCTTGCTGAGCTAAAATCAAACCGAACACGTCTGTGACAGGAGATGGAGAAGCTCAACATCATCAGTTAGAACAAGACAAGGACATGACTGCTGACTAGACCATCATTTGCACATACGCAAGTTCACGCTGAAGAATATTAAAACTAGTCCATGCGTCAAAGTACAACCTTGAGTATATCCAAGCTGAAGGTATCTTGAATCTTCTAGCAAACGTCAACAGGGATGTAGTCAACACTAATGGCGCTTATAGCAGATGGAACTGTGGGGTGTTCAAGGGCATCACACATGAAGAAACCACAAGGTTGTTCAGAAGACCACGAAGAAAGAAAGACCACAATAAATGTCAAGAGAGGCTCGGAAACTTGCTCTTCAGCACAGAGAAGCTAAAGTTACTGGAAGAAATGATGAAATAGCAGAACTGAACAAAAGACTTCCACAGGTAGCTCAAGAAGGCAAAATAAAGTATTTTAGTGCAAAGACCTAGCATTAGATAACCAGAAGCAAAGAGCACATTAGGCTTCCCTCAAGTCAAAAGAACTGAAGGAAAAGCTCAAGCCTTGAGTGGTAATATTGAAGCATTCTATGAGCAAAATATTACCTGGAAGCACCAAAAGAAGATGAAAGGAAAACACAGAATCACCGTGCCAAAAACAAATGGTCGCTGTTCAACCATTTTAGGAGGAAGGATATGATCTAGAGCCAATGGTACTTGGGGAACAAGTCTAAGCTGCACTGAAGGGGATGGCAACCCCCGAGGTTCTAGGAATGGACAGAACACCAATTGAGATGCTTCCACAACTGGACGCAGTGCCAGAATGGCTCATTCTTCTACGTCAAGAAATTCAGAAAACAGCTGCTAGCGTGACTGGAAAAGAGCCACAGGCTCATTCCAGGGAGAGGTGACCCCACAGAATATGGGCACCATGAAACAAACATCAATAGAGAACAGCCAGAAGTTCAAGTCACACAGAGAAGACAGGGAACGAGGGATGTCACTGCTGCTTTTCAGAGAGATCTTGGCTGAAAGCAGAGAGATGTCTACCTGTGCTTTCATGAATATTTAGAGACATATTCGACGGTATGGATCCTTACAACTATGATACCACACTGCCACGAATGGAAATCCCAGAACACTACATTGTGCTCATGCAGAACCTATACAAAGACCAAAGAGGCAGCGGTCTCAGCAAAACAAGGGGATATGTATTTCATGGCTTAAAATCATTAAACTGTCTATCATGGCTGTATTCTTTCACCATCCCTATTCCATTTATAATAGTCTGAGAAGCTGGACTATATGAAGATCCTCACAATACCAGGGTAAAGAAAGATTTATTTAACAAGCCATTGTGTGCAGACAACACAACCTGGCTTGCTGAAAGCAAATAGTACTTGGAGCACTTAATGATAAAGTTCCACGCGAGAGCCTCAGTAAGCATCACATCTCAACACAGACAAAACAAAAAAATCCCCACAACTGGACCAACAAGCAACATCACCCTGACAGAGAAAATAATGAAGTGATTTAAGAATGTTCTTTTACTTGGGTCCCCAAATCAACACCCATGGAAACAGCAATCAAAATATCAAACCATGATCGCACTGGGCAAATCTGCTGAGAAAGATCTCTTTAAAAAGTGTTAAAAAGATGGCCCTGTGAAGACTAAGGAGCACCTCACCTGAGCCAAGGTCTGGTTAATCACCTCACACCTGCAAGAGCTGGATTAGAAAGATCAAGGAAGAACCAGTGCCTTTGAGTTAGTGTTGGTGAAAACTGTTAA